CCCAGAGCCTGCCCAAGAAGCCTAAGGCGTGGGAATTTCAGGACGGTGGGGCCTCCCAGGCTGCAGTTAGTACATGCAATGGCTTTGTAAGCCTCTAGCACCAAGAAGGAATCATACAGGCGAGAAGCCAAGTGTGGGAGAAGCATGGTCTGAGGCGAAGGCCAGGTCCAGGCCCCTGCGCGGCCCAAGGGGGCCATCGTGGCGGGAAGTGTGGGCAGAGGGAAGGTCGGAAGTCAGTGGTGCCAGGCCGGCCAGGTGGGGGGCAGGTCACCCCAGGTCACAGCAGGATGTCGGGGTCAGAAGCCCTGACCAGGGCCTATGAACAAAGAGCCGATCTGCCTTGAAGAGCTGCACGGCCTCACTGGTCGCAGAGATGCGACTCGAAATCACAGTGAGAGACCACGTCACTCGCGCCGTGGCCAGAGTCGAAAAGACAGACGACAGCCAGTGCCGGAAGGATGTGGAGCGCCTTACCGCGGGGTGGGGGGACCCCGCGCAGCGGCTGTGGAGAGGTTGCTCAAGTGTCCTCAGCGCTGCCTCTGACTCAGGAATTCCACCTCCTGGTATCCACCCAAGGGGAAGGAAAACTCGTGTCCACGCAAAACCTGTGCCCAAAGTCACAGGCACTTACACTCGTCACAAAGTGGACAGAGCCAAGTGCCACTCAGCTGGGGGGGGATACACAAAATGGGGGGGCATCAGTGCATTGATATTATTCAGCAGTAAAACAGCCAGCACCACGTAGATCCAAGTGCCAATCGCAACAGACCTTTGACTGCGGGATTCCATTTACACAAAAAGGTCAGATCAGGCAAGGCCTAAACCGGGAAAAGAGGGAGGTGTGTATGGGCGTGTCGGGGACGATGGTTCAGAGGGAGAAAGTGTCTTTTGGGGTAAATGAAAAAATTCTAAGGTAGAGTGTGGAGATGAAGATGCAACTTTGCCCGCTTATTAAATGCCACTGAATTGTACACTTGAAGCGGTGAGCACAGACCCGGTGATCACTATCTCGGTCAAGCTGCCCTTTTTTCAAAGCCATAGTTGTGCGTTCTAAGGCCACGGTGTGCTCGGAAGAGAAGTGGTCTGGCCTCCCCGGCAGGCGCTGGAGGTAGCCTCCGACACAGTCTGTTTACGCTCGGGCAACCAGCTAAGTCCCAGGTCACCGGAGCAGAGCAACCAGAGAAGTCTGGAAACCAGTGTAGACACATTCTCGTGGCTCCGGAGAGACAGATGAAGCACGAAGGACAGGAAACTCCTTGCTCCTT